ATACGATAAAATGTGTTTCTCTTACATGATCAGCAATGTGTTTCTCTTACATGATCAGCAATGTGTTTCTCTTACATGATTTCCCTTCAGAAAATCCCTGTGTTTCTCTTACATGACTTCTCTTAAGGTTTTGAGCCTTCATTTCCTGGCGACGGCCGGCAATACTCTGAGAAAAAAGGCCAGTATCTCTTCTGCGTTTTTTTTCCTGAGGTCTGACTATATATCGCCTGGCAATCCCCGTTCAAATTTGGGGCCTGGTACATGTTTAAATTCCTGGCTACTAACCTAGGGAATTCTACAAACTTACCCGTTATCAGAGTCATTCATGATTGATTTCCTGATGCCTTACATACACAGACTGATAGATCAACCCCCCCTCAATCACAACAGACAGAAACTGATTTCCTGTCACTGTACGTCAGGAAGCTTTCAGGCAAAAAAATCTGGGCCTTCTTTGGTATGATATTTTTTTCCTGGCCCCATATCATGCCCCGGGGCCCTCACCCACTGTCTGCTAGATTTTTGGAAAATACGGATTTTTAATAAGCGTACTGAACCCCCAGGAAAAAAAAAGGTAGTACAGAGGAGGGTGGTGGCTGATCAAAAGGGATGATTATCACTGGATAGGAAATATCGAACTGAGTCCGATCCTTCTGGGCAGGACGCTCAATTAGCAAGGCTGAAGAGGCTGCAGAGTCCAAGGAACGCTCAAGTTGGAGCCAACCCCCCAGAAGGGGGGTCGGCGGCACCCGGGCGCTAGCCCATTCTATAAAACATATTTCATATTCGTCATATTCCCTATATATATAGATTCTCCAAGTGGGTTTCCCATTGAAAAAATAAAAGAAGATCAAAGAAAAACACATCCTCAGCAAATCCCAAGAACTCACCAACGATCCACTTCTCATCCTCAGGTTTAGTTCCAGGTGGAGAAGAATTGATGAAGTCAGTGGTCCACCACAGCGGCAAAGGCTCATCTGCCAACTCAAGAGATGGCATGACGTGCTGCAAGTCCTTCTTCAAGAAGTTGTTGGTGAGAGCGGCAAAGAGTGGTTCCTCTGGACCATAATAGGTGTAGACGGAACCAGTTCCACCAACTGCGGAGATTCCTCCCTCCTTGGGCTTCTTGTGAATGATGCCAACCAAAGCATCTCCCACCAGGTTGTATCGGAGCTCACCTTCCACAATACGAGGGCAGAAACGCTGATCCACAAGCTGGCCGCCGGCCTCCTTGCCACCCTCCAAGTACTTGCCAACACCCTTGGATGTCCATTCACCGGACTTGGAAGTTCGGCCGTTCACGCAGAATTCGATAAACTCACCCACGGTGTGTTCTTCCTCGTGGTTGTCGTTGGCCTCCATCAGCAGGAGCTTCTCACCATCCTCGCAGGATCTCTCGCCATAAGAAGCACAGTAGTTGCCCTCCTTCAGCTTGATGATCCAGATTCCTTGCTTTGTTTTGGAGTGGTGCACTCCAAAAAGGGTTGCAGCACAGAAAGAAAATCAATCAACAACACAGCTTTATGTGCGAAACAAGATTCCTTCACCTGATGAGCCACGGTTCTGCTTGATCACACGTGGCTGGAATGCCATGGTCTTCTTGAAGCCTGCCGCAAACTCCTCAGGGGAATAGTAGGCAAGAGTGTCTTCCAGGCCAATGTTCATGGTTGCCACCTTGCAAAGAGCATCCTTTGCTCCCATCTTCTCCATGACATCGGGAGATGGCCAGACCTGGATACCCAGCTTGCGGATACCCCGCATGCCATCATCGAACTTGTTCTGGTCACCGCCATCAGCCTTGATCTGGCCGGGGTTGCATCGAACGATGATGAAATCAAAGTTTTTACAAACCTCGAAGAACTTGTCATGCTCCTCGTGAACATAATGGATGAGCTGACAGCTCATGCCCGCATTAATCATGCCGTTGGCCATAGGGATCGTGTCATACCTGTGGCCATTGTTGCTGCTGCGTCGTCGTTTGTTAGTGGCTATGCATACGGTCTTAGACAAAGTGGTTCATACAAGGAGATGGAACTGCCCAAAAAAATGTCAATGGCTGTACACATGCACATGCACTTACTTCAAGAAGTACAAAGACCATCCAAGCTACCTGTGGCCGTTGTTGCTCTTGTCGGAGCCTCCATAAGGCTGGCTGCGAACAAAGATTTGGCACAAAGCACCCTTGAACTTAGGGGCTGCGGGCTGATCCAACAAGCCCTTGTAGTCCTTGGCAATGACGGTGAGACCGCTGCAGTCGACAGGCCCAGGGCAAGCCATGACAGAAAACCTCAAGAGTTACAAATGAGGCAAAGACGCAGTGAGGGTTCTTGATCCAAACTCTCCACAGCGAGAAAGGCAATGAGTCAGAAAATGTCAGCAGGCATCAAAATGTCAGAAGATGTCAACAGGAAGGCATGCTCTGAAATCGCTTTGAACATCTAGAACATTTTGAGCAGCGGGAATTGGAATAGATTCTCCATGGCTTTGAGGCATGACAATGCCCGTCCGGTTCTGTGTCAGAACTAACAGTCAGCGACATGTTGGTTGCACCAAGCAACTCTGCATTGCAATTAAATGAACCAAAGCTTTGGGCTAAACTCAGCAGCTGCATTTTCTCTGTCAGTCGATTGAATGCGTATAGATAGAGGTACAATCAGCTGGCACGTTTCCAGCAGCGACCAATGCCGCTATGTCAAATGTTTCCTCTGGAAACATGCAAAGGGAGCGGGCGCAATTCTGCGCCAAAAGCAATCAATGAATCACAATGAATCAATGAGGCAGCCTTGTTGTTGAAAGAGCTGCTACAAGAGTCTATGTTGTCCTCACTTCTTGGACAGAATGCCCAGGGCCTTCTCCCCCATAAGATCTCCATATCTCTTGGCTTCTGCCTTGTCTTCCTCAGTGATGTCATCCCAGCCGGCAGTGGGGGTGTCGTCCTTGCAGTAGGCAGCCAAGCAGCGGCTGATCCCAACGCACGAGCAGTTAAACCTTGGATTTGCTTGAAAGCCTCCAAAAATAAAACATGTTCCCTATTGTTTCGCCTAGGATTCCCATTGAGAAAGTAAAACAGCATCTTCAGCAAGTCCCAGGAACTCACCAACGATCCACTTCTCATCCTCCGGCTTTGTTCCGGGCGGAGAAGAATTGATGAAGTCAGTGGTCCACCACAGCGGCAAAGGCTCATCAGCCAACCCAAGAGCTGGCATGACGTGCTGCAAGTCCTTCTTCAGGAAGTTGTTGGTGAGAGCCGCGAAAAGTGGCTCCTCTGGGCCATAGTACGTGTAGACGGAACCAGTTCCACCAACTGCGGAGATTCCTCCCTCCTTGGGCTTCTTGTGAATGATGCCAACCAAAGCATCTCCCACCAGGTTGTATCGGAGCTCACCTTCCACAATACGAGGGCAGAAACGCTGATCCACAAGCTGGCCGCCGGCCTCCTTGCCACCCTCCAAGTACTTGCCAACACCCTTGGATGTCCATTCACCGGACTTGGAAGTTCGGCCATTGACGCAGAATTCGATAAACTCACCCACGGTGTGTTCTTCCTCGTGGTTATCGTTGGCCTCCATCAGCAGGAGCTTCTCACCATCCTCGCAGGATCTCTCGCCATAAGAAGCACAGTAGTTGCCCTCCTTCAGCTTGATGATCCAGATTCCTTGATTTTTTTGGAGTGGTGCACTCCAAAAAGGGTTGCAGCACAGAAAGAAAATCAATCAACAACACAGCTTTATGTGCGAAACAAGATTCCTTCACCTGATGAGCCACGGTTCTGCTTGATCACACGTGGCTGGAATGCCATGGTCTTCTTGAAGCCTGCCGCAAACTCCTCAGGGGAATAGTAGGCAAGAGTGTCTTCCAGGCCAATGTTCATGGTTGCCACCTTGCAAAGAGCATCCTTTGCTCCCATCTTCTCCATGACATCGGGAGATGGCCAGACCTGGATACCCAGCTTGCGGATACCCCGCATGCCATCATCGAACTTGTTCTGGTCACCGCCATCAGCCTTGATCTGGCCGGGGTTGCATCGAACGATGATGAAGTCAAAGTTTTTACAAACCTCGAAGAACTTGTCATGCTCCTCGTGAACATAATGGATGAGCTGACAGCTCATGCCCGCATTAATCATGCCGTTGGCCATAGGAATCGTGTCATACCTGTGGCCATTGTTGCTGCTGCGTCGTCGTTTGTTAGTGGCTGTGCGTACGGTCTTAGACAAAGTGGTTCATACAAGGAGATGGAACTGCCCAAAAAAATGTCAATGGCTGTACACATGCACATGCGCTTACTTCAAGAAGTACACAGACCATCCAAGCTACCTGTGGCCGTTGTTGCTCTTGTCGGAGCCTCCATAAGGCTGGCTGCGAACAAAGATTTGGCACAAAGCACCCTTGAACTTAGGGGCTGCGGGCTGATCCAACAAGCCCTTGTAGTCCTTGGCAATGACGGTGAGACCGCTGCAGTCGACAGGCCCGGGGCAAGCCATGACAAAACTAAGAAGTGAGGGTTGATGAAGTCAGGCTTCTTGATCCAGATTCTTTACCACAGGCGAGAAGTGACAATGCAGAACACATCCTGCTGATCTCCAAGTCTTTGTGTCTGCAGCTGAACTGACAAAAAGTCGACCGCTTCTCGTTTTAAGTGAAGATGTCAAATGCTTGCTGTTGATGCAGGCTTACACTCCGATACAAATGTCTGACCCACATTGCACCTTGTATTGAAAACATTAAACACAAGAGCAAGGAGAAATAACAACATGCATCACAATGTATCATATGTGTATCGTTCCCTTTTTGCGCTAACTCCACAGATTACCTTGGAGTCGCTGCAGGTTCACTTGTAGAGACTAGTCAACAGGCACGTTTCCAGAGGCGACCAATGCCGCTATGTCAAACGTTTCCTCTGGAAACATGCAGAAAGGGAGCGGGCGCAATTCTGCGCCAAAAGCGATCAATGAGGCAGCCTTGTTGTTGAAAGAGCTGCTGTAAGAACCTATGACTTCCTCACTTCTTTGACAAGATGCCAAGGGCCTTTTCCCCCATAAGATCTCCATATCTCTTGGCCTCTGCCTTGTCTTCCTCAGTGATGTCATCCCAGCCGGCAGTGGGGGTGTCGTCCTTGCAGTAGGCAGCCAAGCAGCGGCTGATCCCAACGCACGAGCAGTTAAACCTTGGATTTGCTTGAAAGCCTCCAAAAATAAAACATGTTCCCTATTGTTTCGCCTAGGATTCCCATTGAGAAAGTAAAACAACATCTTCAGGAAGTCCCAGGAACTCACCAACGATCCACTTCTCATCCTCCGGCTTTGTTCCGGGCGGAGAAGAATTGATGAAGTCAGTGGTCCACCACAGCGGCAAAGGCTCATCAGCCAACCCAAGAGCTGGCATGACGTGCTGCAAGTCCTTCTTCAGGAAGTTGTTGGTGAGAGCCGCGAAAAGTGGCTCCTCTGGGCCATAGTACGTGTAGACGGAACCAGTTCCACCAACTGCGGAGATTCCTCCCTCCTTGGGCTTCTTGTGAATGATGCCAACCAAAGCATCTCCCACCAGGTTGTATCGGAGCTCACCTTCCACAATACGAGGGCAGAAACGCTGATCCACAAGCTGGCCGCCGGCCTCCTTGCCACCCTCCAAGTACTTGCCAACACCCTTGGATGTCCATTCACCGGACTTGGAAGTTCGGCCGTTCACGCAGAATTCGATAAACTCACCCACGGTGTGTTCTTCCTCGTGGTTGTCGTTGGCCTCCATCAGCAGGAGCTTCTCACCATCCTCGCAGGATCTCTCGCCATAAGAAGCACAGTAGTTGCCCTCCTTCAGCTTGATGATCCAGATTCCTTGCTTTGTTTTGGAGTGGTGCACTCCAAAAAGGGTTGCAGCACAGAAAGAAAATCAATCAACAACACAGCTTTATGTGCGAAACAAGATTCCTTCACCTGATGAGCCACGGTTCTGCTTGATCACACGTGGCTGGAATGCCATGGTCTTCTTGAAGCCTGCCGCAAACTCCTCAGGGGAATAGTAGGCAAGAGTGTCTTCCAGGCCAATGTTCATGGTTGCCACCTTGCAAAGAGCATCCTTTGCTCCCATCTTCTCCATGACATCGGGAGATGGCCAGACCTGGATACCCAGCTTGCGGATACCCCGCATGCCATCATCGAACTTGTTCTGGTCACCGCCATCAGCCTTGATCTGGCCGGGGTTGCATCGAACGATGATGAAATCAAAGTTTTTACAAACCTCGAAGAACTTGTCATGCTCCTCGTGAACATAATGGATGAGCTGACAGCTCATGCCCGCATTAATCATGCCGTTGGCCATAGGGATCGTGTCATACCTGTGGCCATTGTTGCTGCTGCGTCGTCGTTTGTTAGTGGCTATGCATACGGTCTTAGACAAAGTGGTTCATACAAGGAGATGGAACTGCCCAAAAAAATGTCAATGGCTGTACACATGCACATGCACTTACTTCAAGAAGTACAAAGACCATCCAAGCTACCTGTGGCCGTTGTTGCTCTTGTCGGAGCCTCCATAAGGCTGGCTGCGAACAAAGATTTGGCACAAAGCACCCTTGAACTTAGGGGCTGCGGGCTGATCCAACAAGCCCTTGTAGTCCTTGGCAATGACGGTGAGACCGCTGCAGTCGACAGGCCCGGGGCAAGCCATGACAAAACTAAGAAGTGAGGGTTGATGAAGTCAGGCTTCTTGATCCAGATTCTTTACCACAGGCGAGAAGTGACAATGCAGAACACATCCTGCTGATCTCCAAGTCTTTGTGTCTGCAGCTGAACTGACAAAAAGTCGACCGCTTCTCGTTTTAAGTGAAGATGTCAAATGCTTGCTGTTGATGCAGGCTTACACTCCGATACAAATGTCTGACCCACATTGCACCTTGTATCGAAAACATTAAACGCAAGAGCAAGGAGAAATAACAACATGCATCACAATGTATCATATGTGTATCGTTCCCTTTTTGCGCTAACTCCACAGATTACCTTGGAGTCGCTGCAGGTTCACTTGTAGAGACTAGTCAACAGGCACGTTTCCAGAAGCGACCAATGCCGCTATGTCAAACGTTTCCTCTGGAAACATGCAGAAAGGGAGCGGGCGCAATTCTGCGCCAAAAGCGATCAATGAGGCAGCCTTGTTGTTGAAAGAGCTGCTGTAAGAACCTATGACTTCCTTACTTCTTTGACAAGATGCCAAGGGCCTTTTCCCCCATAAGATCTCCATATCTCTTGGCCTCTGCCTTGTCTTCCTCAGTGATGTCATCCCAGCCGGCAGTGGGGGTGTCGTCCTTGCAGTAGGCAGCCAAGCAGCGGCTGATCCCAACGCACGAGCAGTTAAACCTTGGATTTGCTTGAAAGCCTCCAAAAATAAAACATGTTCCCTATTGTTTCGCCTAGGATTCCCATTGAGAAAGTAAAACAACATCTTCAGGAAGTCCCAGGAACTCACCAACGATCCACTTCTCATCCTCCGGCTTTGTTCCGGGCGGAGAAGAATTGATGAAGTCAGTGGTCCACCACAGCGGCAAAGGCTCATCAGCCAACCCAAGAGCTGGCATGACGTGCTGCAAGTCCTTCTTCAGGAAGTTGTTGGTGAGAGCCGCGAAAAGTGGCTCCTCTGGGCCATAGTACGTGTAGACGGAACCAGTTCCACCAACTGCGGAGATTCCTCCCTCCTTGGGCTTCTTGTGAATGATGCCAACCAAAGCATCTCCCACCAGGTTGTACCGGAGCTCACCTTCCACAATACGAGGGCAGAAACGCTGATCCACAAGCTGGCCGCCGGCCTCCTTGCCACCCTCCAAGTACTTGCCAACACCCTTGGATGTCCATTCACCGGACTTGGAAGTTCGGCCGTTCACGCAGAATTCGATAAACTCACCCACGGTGTGTTCTTCCTCGTGGTTGTCATTGGCCTCCATCAGCAAAAGCTTCTCACCATCCTCGCAGGATCTCTCGCCATAAGAAGCACAGTAGTTGCCCTCCTTCAGCTTGATGATCCAGATTCCTTGCTTTTTTTTTCGAGTGGTGCACTCCAAAAAGGGTTGCAGCACATCAAGAAAAGGGCATCGAAAAAATGGATTGGTAGAACCCACAAAGCTGAATGGAAAACACGAGGTGAAAGTATACAACATGGTTCAAACATGTCACGTCATCAAGGTAAGTGCAAGTAGGAACTGAAAATAGCTTCCTTGCTGGGGACAGGCTGCGCCACCCGCTCAACAAATATTTTCGCGAAACATTTTCATTGGACACTCTAGTGGGGCAATTCGGTTGGACACTTTTGCGATACACTGCTGGGAAAACGATGTTCTTCTGAGACACTTTGCGCGCCGCTCCTGTCAGACACTCTTCTGAAACTCCTGCAAGACACTCCTGTAAGACACTTCTTGGTAGCCTGGGTTTTTTCTTGCTGGCGGTGTTCTTTGGGCCTATTGCCTGCCTCATTTTCTACAGCTTGTGAGGTGCCCTGTGAAGACGCTCCTGTAAGAATTTAATATCACCTTCTGTTGCAACTCCATCAAATTTTGCGCCCATGCTAAAACGCACTATACAGTCACTGAGCATCTCATTTCTACTTCTCGCAGCCGTGCCACAGGAGAAAGCGAAGAACGCAAGACAGAACATCACGACTCAACTGTTAGCCACGCAAAATTGATTTTCCAAACCCTTAGAAGCCTTACAAGATACATCCAAATACCGCACCTGCAACTCTAATGTGTCGCCGAACAATTTGCACTTTGTTCCCCCTCAGCAGAGCAATTCCAATGCGAATTGCCAAAAAACACACAAGACCACACCATCGGAAGCATTGCGCATGCCGCTCAAAAACAAGGCCAGGCTTGAAAGACTATGCAAAAAATATTGCACTTGCCGCTTGCCACACAACAACAACTAGCAAAACAGCAAGACATAAAAAGACCTCAAATAACGCTTGACTTCTTTGACGCGCCTGTTTCTTTTTGCATCATTTTGCAGGGCTCACTCCTCGGCAACCCAAAAGAATCTACCCGCAACATCACGCAACACAGCTGCGCAACCGTGCCACTGCGGAAAGCGAAAAACGCAACACCTAAACTATCCTAAAGCGTCTTAAGTACTGTGCTTGACTCCTGCCCAAAAATTCCAATGCGATTTGTATAAAACACGAAAGACCACATATCTGAAAGCATTGTGCCTAGCAGTACCAAGCAAAATTAACCTGGATCCGTCCAAAGTACTGCGAATGCCAAGAAAAATCGCAACAGTGATCCGCTTTAAAGTTATATTAGTGGCAACTAAGCCCCACTACAAAGCCACTGTGATTGAGCTAGCTATCAGGAAAAGCGCAATTTAAAGAAGCAAGAGCTTGCTAGCTGCCAGATTTAAAGCAGCAGACTTGCATGCCAAGGTTTGTATGCCAACAAGAATGGCTCAAGAACACAAAGAAAAAGGTTGGTGACAGGCCACACCAACCTATGTATGGGTTTGTGTGTATATGTATAGAATATATAGTCAAAGGAAGTTTAGTGGGAGAAACTTCCGTGTTACGGACTTTTAGAATGTGAAAGAAAGAGTTAGTCAAAGAAAGAGTTAGTCAAAGAAAGAGTTAGTCAAAGAAAGAGTTAGTCAAAGAAACAGTTAGTCAGGGAAAGAGTTAGTCAAAGAAAGAGTTAGTCAAAGAAACAGTTAGTCAGGGAAAGAGTTAGTCAAAGAAACAGTTAGTCAGGGAAAGAGTTAGTCAAAGAAAGAGTTAGTGAAAGAAAGAGTTAGTCAAAGAACAGTTAGCCAGGGAAAGAGTTAGTCAAAGAAAGAGTTAGTCAGGGAAAGAGTTAGTCAAAGAAACAGTTAGTCAGGGAAAAAGTTAGTCAAAGAAAGAGTTCGTCAAAGAAAGAGTTAGTCAAAGAAAGAGTTAGTCAGGGAAAGAGTTAGTCAAAGAAACAGTTAGTCAGGGAAAAAGGTAGTCAAAGAAAGAGTTAGTCAGGATATATGAGGTAGTCAAAGAAAGAGTTAGTCAGGATATATGAGGTAGTCAAAGAAAGAGTTAGCAAAGAAAGAGTTAGTCAAAGAAACAGTTAGTCAGGGAAAAAGGTAGTCAAAGAAAGAGTTAGTCAGGATATATGAGGTAGTCAAAGAAAGAGTTAGTCAGGATATATGAGGTAGTCAAAGAAAGAGTTAGCAAAGAAAGAGTTCGTCAGGGAAAGGGTTAGTCACAGAAAGAGTTGGTTAGGGCATTGATTGTTCCCGCAATGCAAATGGGATTGCAAGTGGTGCTGGTGGATGAGTTGCCGATGGAGTTGTGAAGGAAGTCTCGCACGAAATGCGTTTTTGAGAGATAGCAGATGCACGAAACCCTATGTTTTTCCATACAAAGTGCGTCCCCGAACCTCGATGATCTACCTCTGCGGTGCGACGGGTGCGAGACGGTCTCGTGTGTGGTCGGATCATGGTCGGATCATGGGCGGATCATGGGCGGATCATGGGCGGATCATGCTCGGATCGGTTCCGCATTGTAAATGGGGTTTCAACTGTTTTTCGTGCATGTGTGGTCGACAGAATTCCATTGTGATTTGCAACTGTAGGATCGTTCCCGCAATGTAAATGGGATTGCAAGTGGTGCTGGTGGATGAGTTGCAGATGGAATTCCATTGTGATTTGCAACTGTAGGATCGTTCCCGCAATGCAAATGGCATTGCAAGTGGTGCTGCCGGATGAGTTGCCGATGGAGTTTTGAAGGAAGTCTTGCACGAAATGCGTTTTTGAGAGATAGCAGATGCACGAAACCCTATGTTTTTCCATACAAAGTGTGTCCACGAACTTCGATGATCTACCTCTGCTGTGCGACGGGTGCGAGACGGTCTCGTGTGTGGTCGGATCATCCTCGGATCATCCTCGGATCATCCTCGGATCATGCTCGGATCATGCTCGGATCGGTTCCGCATTGTAAATGGGGTGTCAACTGTTTTTCGTGCATGTGTGGTCGACAGAATTCCATTGTGATTTGCAACTGTAGGATCGTTCCCGCAATGTAGATGGAATTGCAAGTGGTGCTGGTGGATGAGTTGCAGATGGAATTCCATTGTGATTTGCAACTCTAGGATCGTTCCCTCACTGTAAATGGGATTGCAAGTGGTGCTGGTGGAGGAGTTGCCGATGGAGTTTTGGAGGAAGTCTCGCACGAAATGCGTTTTTGAGAGATAGCAGATGCACGAAACCCTATGTTTTTCCATACAAAGTGTGTCCCCGAACCTCGATGATCTACCTCTGCGGTGCGACGGGTGCGAGACGGTCTCGTGTGTGGTCGGATCATCCTCGGATCATCCTCGGATTGGTCTCGGATCGGTCTCGGATCGGTTCCGCATTGTAAATGGGGTTTCAACTGTTTTTCGTGCATGTGTGGTCGACAGAATTCCATTTTGATTTGCAACTGTAGGATCGTTCCCGCATTGTAAATGGGGTTGCAAGTGGTGCTGGTGGATGAGTTGCCGATGGAATTCCATTGTGATTTTCAACTCTAGGATCGTTCCCTCACTGTAAATGGGATTGCAAGTGGTGCTGGTGGAGGAGTTGCCGATGGAGTTTTGAAGGAAGTCTCGCACGAAATGCGTTTTTGAGAGATAGCAGATGCACGAAACCCTATGTTTTTCCATACAAAGTGTGTCCACGAACTTCGATGATCTACCTCTGCTGTGCGACGGGTGCGAGACGGTCTCGTGCTCGGATCATCCTCGGATCATGCTCGGATTGGTCTCGGATCGGTTCCGCATTGTAAATGGGGTTTCAACTGTTTTTCGTGCATGTGTGGTCGACAGAATTCCATTGTGATTTGCAACTGTAGGATCGTTCGGGCAATGTAAATGGGATTGCAACTGGTGCTGGTGGATGAGTTGCCGATGGAATTCCATTGTGATTTGCAACTCTAGGATCGTTCCCTCACTGTAAATGGGATTGCAAGGTTGCTTCCTGCTTTGGCTGCATACGTAATACTATTGTCTTTTGCAGCTGGACTTCGTAAATCGTATTGGAGTGGCTGCATGAAGGCTGCGACAGTGATTTGTCATCAGATTTTCTCTATTTTGGGGCTAGTGATTTTCCTTCTAAAAATCCTTTTAAAAAGTGCTTCAAAATCGTCTTTTTTTCGCTCTGGCGTCGAGATCCGGTTTTGGAGCTACAATTTCTGACGCCGTTGCGCGTAGTTCTATTGTGTTTTGCAACTCAGTCTCTGCAGATCGCATTGTAATGGCTGCGTCAAGGTTGCTTCGTGCTGTGGCTGCATTTGTCATACTAGTGTCTTTTGCAGCTGGACTTCGTAAATCGTATTGGAGTGGCTGCATGAAGGCTGCCACAGTGATTTGTCAGCAGATTTTCTCCATTTTGGCGCTAGTGATTTTCCTTCTAAAAATCCTTTTAAAAAAGTGCTTCAAAATCGTCTTTTTTTCGCTCTGGCGTCGAGATCCGGTTTTGGAGCTACAATTTCCGACGCCGTTGCGCGTAGTTCTATTGTGTTTTGCAACTC